GAGCCCATCCTGCATTGCATGGCACATACTGAGCAGTACGGCCTCTTCGCAACGAGCTGTGCGGATCCAGGGACCAAGGCGGGGACCCCCTTTGCACTGCAGGCATCAAGAAATGTGCTCTAAGCAATGCGAAGGATCTTTTGAGAGAACCAGGGTTTATCAATCCAGACCTTTCAGAAATACCTGGATCAGACATCCAAGAAGATCGAAGCGGTGAAGTGGGTGGGGAAGGTTCTCTTTCTCAAGTGGCTTGCCCGTCTGCGTTGCTTCCGATTGGCCGCCGGTTTCAAGACTGAATCTTGCCAGTGGAGCTCAGAAGGTCCACCAACACCTGCATGAAAAAGGTCCTTGCAAACGGCCGCGGGTCCTTCTGGCTTAGTTTTGCAGGGTTACTCACAGGATGTGGAACACCATTTTTGCAATCCATCTCATTGAGAGGATTCTCTCGGAAAGCAGGTGGTTTTGGACGTATCCCAGGAGCCTGTCACACGGGTTCTGGTTTTGCAACGCCTCTCGAGGAGGCCTACGCGGTCTTCTCGGGCGTGGCGATGCTGCTGTACTGGCCCCGCAGCAAGAACCAAAAAGGTCGGGCCTAAGGAAACAAACGCGCGCAGTTACAATTTTTCGTAAAAACATGCTTACCTCCATTTCCGCGAGCAAAGTTGGATTTAGACCAAACGGGGTCCCCTTTATGTGGCCGTGCTTCAGGTTTCATGCTGCCCCTCCCGCGTGGAGTCAGCAAGGGGTCCCTTGAAATGAAAACAAGCTTCCAGTGCTTCTGGATTGCAGCTTTTGAGAGCTTTTGACTTCTACAAGCCAACTGTGCCATGATGCGCGCGACGGTGGCACACTCGCTCGATTGCTTGCTTTGCCTGTCCTGGCCTGGCCTGCCTGCCTGGCCTTGCCTGCATGCTTAGCTTTCGAGTGTCAGCATACTTTCCTTCATTGTTTGCGATTTCATTGATCGTTGACGTTTGCACAAACGCGAGGGCAGCACCGAAAACAGGCGCTTGAAGAGTGAGGGCCACCACTCAGGTTGCTGCTGATGAACTTCAGCATCTTTTCCATGCAGATCTCCGCCTTTGTGCTGGTTTGCGGCCGCGTTCTCGCGGAGGCGCGGAACATGCGAAAACTGGGAGCCCTGAGTGGGACCGTCGGCTTTGCTTTTTTTGGCTGGTGCCTGTGTTCAGCCTATGAACGGGAGGGTGTGGCCAGGTGATGCTCTTCCTTTTGGCCTTTGTTTTCCTCGTCATCGCCTTCTCAACGGCCATCACCGCCCTGCACCACAGGTTGTACGACTTCGAGCGTGTGGATCGCGGCATGGAGACTTTGCTGGAGATCACCTTGGGAATGTACCCCTTGGACAACTACAAGGCTATCCTGGCTGAATCTATCTATGTGGAGATCCTCGAGTTGCAAGTCTGTGCTTGTCGTCGTCGTGATTGTTGTGTGGGGGGTTTGTGCTGCCAGATGGCGTTAGTGGGGCGGAGCTACCCTACGCGTTGCCAAGGATTGCTATCATCGGTTTCACTGTGCTCATCTCGGTTTTGCTGCTTAACCTTCTGGTCGCGCAGTTGAACATGGCCTACAAGCTGGTTCACTCAGACATGCAGGGCTATGCGCGCCTGACACGGGGTGGCATCATTGTCTCCACGGTTGAACAAGTCTCGCGCAAGCGCTGGGATGCCTTCCTGCAGACGCTTGCACCTGCAAGAGTTTTGGGAGGGAAAGGAGCTTGGTGTAGCGAGGTCGTCGTGCTACTGGGTGCCCTAATTTCCTTATTCGGGTTCGATTGGGTCCTGGAGATGGGTTCCAAAATGTATCAAACAGTGAAACGGCCCGTGGCCGATTACAAAGCGCCAAGAAGACTTGCAGAGATCACACCTTAGGAGCCTCCATTTCGAAGAGCGCCTGGAATTCAATGAGGGCGACATCGGCTTGTCAGGCAAGGGGCGCTGGTCGGGGGATGCGAGCTTCGCAAGCTCAAAGGGGCTAGAAAGGATATCTAAACCAGCCGGGTGTCTGGGTCTTTGGGTGAGCTTTGTGGCGACTGCAGGCGGCATTCAGGTCTTCGAGCCGGCGAATGCAAACCCGACCACAGCACGGAGCCTAGCAGCCATTGACCGGAAGCCGGTCAGCTTTGAAACACTGAGTCAGCTCGACCAGTTTAAGCGTGCAAATGTTCGGTGTCAGCCAGATTTTGAACAGCTGGCAGACCCAATGGGAAAAAGCGTGCTTTTTTGTTTTGTTTTTTGGGGAGTTGGGCCAAGGAGGTGCTCAAGTGTTGGGCCAAGGAAGGTCACCTCCATTTTGCCAAGTCTTAGCACCGAACCAGGACCCCACATCCGTCTGTCAATCGGGAACGAACGTGGGGACCGCCGGGAAGCTTGGCACAGGTGGAGACGGTGCGCCGCTTCGGAGGCTCCACGGCGCCGAATATGCCTTGGCCGGAGGACTGCGGGTTTGGGAGGGCTGGCCACTTCCCGGAAAATGCCAAACCCCAGGCAGTGCATTTTACTGAAGGGAAATTCTCGGGGTGGATTCAAAAACCACATAAAGCCACCATTTTGCGGGCCCCCATCTTGGAACACCCTAGCTTCAAGTCACTACTATAGAGATTGTTCAAGTTCCTTTATGGTGTTGCGCAGTGCAATTGGAAGCATCGGAAGGCCAAAACGGGTGAGGGGCACCGCAGCCAACGGCAGTTGCACACGCGAGGACCCACTGGATGAAGCCAACGAGGACCGCTTGGAGAAGCTGGCCGCTTGCCGCGGGCACCAGGGCAGCGGGGGAAAGCTCCCCCCCCCTCAAAAATCAACAGCCGCCTAACCCAACAACCCAAGCCCAACAACGCAGCAGCCCAACAACCCAAGAACAACACCGCAGCAACAACGCAACAGCCCAATAGCCAGAAACACCTGCCATTCTCAACTTGTCGCTTTGAGTTTTGATTTGGGGATCATTGGCTAAGGAGAAGCTGGTGGTGAAGGCCATGAAGACGATTACAGACAAGAAGGGTGGCGGCGGTGCTGGCCAAACAGGCTGGTGAATAGAGATCAGAGCGGAGCCAGTGGTGGTCACTATGATGTTTTGGCTTTCTTTTTTTGGTCGGTGCTTTGGCAAGTCCATGTTCATTGCCTGCGTTTGAAGGTTTCCTTATTTTTGACGAGGGCAGTTGGTATGGCCTACCATGAGGTGTTTCACTTTTGGCTCGCTGGGTTTGCTACTCGGGTAGAAGTTCATTGTCAGGAAGGCGCCAATTGTTTCCTCACCTTGTGTCAACTCTCACCTTTGTTGATCTATGAGTGGCGGGCCTGGTGGTGGGTGGCTGGGGTGGGATGGTGACCCACGATTTCGATGCACCCCATGCCCTAAGTAAGGAGTCGCCAATCGAATTGGTTCTATGCTCAAGGGCTCCCTCTTTAGTGGCTCAAGCAGAAAGGCAATTCTAAGCACCAGATACCCATGGCCTTCAGCCAAATCTGCAAAATTTCTGCCATGAGTGTTTTGCCTACTTAGTTTGACGCTGGGGAGGCAATAGTTTGCCTGGGTGCGAGGTCGGCCCGTGCCCTCCTACGGAAGCTACCAATCCCATTTGCTCTCATCCCCCCAATTCGCTTCAGGAGACCTTAAGCGAATTCTAATAAACGGGTTCAAAGGACAATCATGTGTGTAGATTGTGTAAGTGTCCGGAAGGAACCCACTTGTTAGAACCTATTGAATGCATCAACAGCTTGGCTTGGGTAAAAACCTCCGGTTCCTCCAGAAAGATGGGTTGGCAAAGCCTGGCCTCACCACGGGCCCAACACCTAAGTTCTAAAGCAAGCCGCCATGCCTTTCTGCTTCCCCACCCCCCCCAAGACCGATAAACAGCTCCCAGTTCAGATTTGGCCATATCTTGGTTCCCCTCGCGCTTCTCATTGCACGTGCTATCGAGGTATGTCCGGGATATCGGGCATGCCCAGCTCCGCCTCGGGCAGCGGGATGAGCTCCAACAGCTCCCAGAATGCCGCGGCTCGGCAAATGAGCTGGAGCCGGCTACGAACGGGCAGTAGACCTGTTCTTCCCAAGTGCAAACGTCCGGCCATGTCCGGATATGGCTCAAGCGTCAGCTTTGCCGACATTTTGGGAATCAATCCACGTCATTCCTGCTGGTACGGGGTTTCTCCAAGCATGACCATTGAGGGTTCATAGTTTTGGCACACGCGTGCACCGTGAACACTGGCTGGAAGGACCCCAAAACAAAGTTGTAATTACTGCCCTGCTCCCATTCTCCTCCCCAACAGCAGGTAAAACAGCACGTGCGTGCTTTTCTGGTTTGTTTGGGCTGGACTGGTTTCCCACCTGCTGCCGTCAATCAATTAGGCTTAGATTGCAATTTCTTGATTCCTGGTTCAGCTTGGTCAATTCTGGCAAACGGTGCCAGCTTTCGGTCCGTCCTCTCTCCAGTTCCTTTTTGGTTTAAAGCGAATTCATGAGGCGAGCAAGCGAGTCAAGTTAAACCCATTTTGCTGGAAAGCTAGTTGGCGTGTTCACCTTTGATATTATTGGCCACTAGTGTTAGCACGTTTTTTGTTTTTTTTTTTTAATATAAAAAAATATTTGATGGTCCAGCCTTGGGAAAGGGCTTTGCAGGAAAGGGGGGAGAGGGCAGTCAAACACCATTTGAAGGGTTCGGCTTTTGCTCGCTGTTTGTCGTTTATCCGCAGAGGGTGTTAATTGGCGGGTTTGTCGTAGAGTTCCGGGGCATAGGCCTCGCAGGCTTGTTTTGCAGCTTGTAGTTGCTTGCAGCTGGGCGGACAGATGCGCAGCATACATCTCTGTCAAAGCCGAGGAGGAGACCAAGTAGATGGATCGTGGCAGTCATGGACTCAGCTCGCTGGCAGTCCGTGCATGTGTGCGCGTAGCGCTGAGCGGTTTTCCTGCAATATGCTTTTCTGAATCTACGCCGTGTGCTGAGGTGGAACCAACTTTTTGTGGGCCCGTCAAGCGGGACCCAAGAGTGTTCGTGGTCGAGACATCTGCCGCTGTATTCGGGCAGATGCGGGTCAAAGCAATGTTGCCCCAAGCGGTTTGCATTGGCATGTGGCTCAGGTTTCATTGTTGGCTGTACTAGCTCATAGGCTGCTTCAGGCATGTCCGGGCAAAGTTTCAAGAGGCCCATCGGCAACAACAGTTCTCACCGCCTGCGCTGTAGTTTTCGTTTCATTTTTTTGCATGGCTCCTCATCCCTCGGCTGACGGCACCGCGTGGACGCCTAGCACCGAGTGGGCACGCCATGCATTGCGCGGGAACGTCCGGTCCTCAAAAGGGCCGTGTCGACCAGCTGGACAAATTCGATCCTTGCCAGTCTGGATCACCTCTGTGGCCAGAAACTTTCACCCGGCCGCTGGCCGCTGGCCGGTCCTCCGTCTCAAATTGCAGGCATCGGCCATCGATCCGACTATGTAACTGGGGAGGGATTCTCCTGGAGCAATTTCATTTTAGATGCGTGTTTTCCCTTTTTCACGGCTGCTTTCCAACAACACTGTCAGACTGGCTTCAAACCGTATCTTGAAGATTAAGATCCAGAGGTTAAAGGAAGCAAAAGCGGTTTCTTGTGAGGCCGGAACTGTACAAGAGTGGCCATGCCCACAGCCCGCCAGAACTGTATGCGTGCTATGAACAACTGGGTCGAGTGAAGGGGTGGATTGCTTGCGAAGCGGTGCCTTGCAGAGGAGGGCTGGTGTTGCTGCATCGGCTGCTGGGATGCGAAATGTGAGGCATCCGCCGACTGCAGACCTGGAAACAAATGCCCGCAATCATGCCCGTGCGCCCTTGCCAGGACTTGCTGCAAACCTTGCCGGTACCCTGTCCTGGCTCAAAATTGCCAGTGCGCTGGTGGAGCTTGAATCATGCTTGTGTAGATCAGTTAGCAGGTCTTCCCCTGCCACTCTTTGCAAGCAACATAGTTTCTAGCCTCACCTCTGTCTCCACGTGTGACGTTGCGAGACCCGAAAGCAAGCCGACGGTCGCCACCTGCGCGCCTGCGCGCCTCGCCTGCGCGGCTGCGCTCCGATGTGGCGTGCCCAGGGGTTGCCAGTTCACATCAGGATGTTTATTTTCAGGAACCCTGGTGAGCCCTCAGTTTGCTGAGCTCCCTGCTGCAGCACATGGCTTTTTGGGCCCAAGTCTCCGAGCGCGGTAGGCAAAGGTGGGCGTTTTAATTCGGCTCGTCCCCTTCCTTTCCATACGCGCCATGGCTCATTTCCGGTTTTCTCGGGCCAAGCGGGTGCTGCCGCTGCTGCTCCTACCGGGCCTGTTGGCGTGCAGAGCCTTCGTAACGGCGCCGACCTGGCCGTCTGCGCCGACCCGGCGCGAGTCTCTGGCGCTGGGCCTGGGCCTGGGGCTGGCGCCCGCATCGGCCTGGGCCGACGGTGCGGCGGCGGCGAAGATCCGGGAGTGCGAAAAGGAGGTGGGTCAAGGGGCGCCAGAAATTCGAGGCGTTGTTCTAGGGCTTTCCCACATCGACCCAAACAGGTCCACAAATCTGCGATCAGAACTCTACCCAGACCTGAACCACGCCCCACGTGAGGCGAAGGAAATCTTGGGGGACCTCTCCTCCAGCGCTGCGGTCCCACTGGCCATGACCCCCGCGCAGGCGGGCCGGAATTGAACAAGTGAGGATAGAGGAAGAGCAGCAAGGGATAGTCCCAACCAGAACAGGTGTGGCTGACCTTTTAATTCTTGGCATGGTCTTGGGCAGGCCACCTTAATACCAGGTTTTGATGGTGACTCAAGTGACTTGAACTTGGAACACGCGCAGAGTCAAAAGTGGCAGCTTCCCGAAAATACAGGTATGGGAGGGTGACGGGGGTCCAACGGTCGTGAGCCCTTTGTCTGATTACTGGTGCAGGGACTCCGTTCCAGCAGTTCAGCAAACCGTTTTCCGTTGGGCTGAACGGATTCTAGGTGGAAAGGTGCGACATGAAGCGACATTTGACGGGGCCTCTGTTGAGCCAGTCAGCCTGTCCCTCCGAAAAGGCAAAGGGGCGGTGCATGTTGTCTCTCTTTCAGGTTTCATCAAAGTCAGAGCTTTGTCTTTTACCTTTCGGAGTATGGGAATCCATCCGGTCTGCGCTCCGGTTCCCACAAGAAGCTCAGCCTGTCACGGCTCTCGAGGTGTCGGAGGTGCAGGACCGGGGGCCGCCGACCATGGGCAGCTTCCAGTCGCTGGAGGGGAAGTGCTCCCCGTCGGCGCTGAGAACGGCGGCGGAGGCTCTGGCAAAGGCCCCCCCCAAGGGCCTCAACCGCCAGGCGGGGAAGGAGGTGTTTGACTCCAACGGGGAGCCGGATATGAGGGTGGTTGGTTTTGGATGGAAGTTCAAGGGGGTTCCAAAAGGAAAGCGCCATTTTCTATGGGTCCGCAATTTGCAGAAACACCTAGATGGAAAGGACGGTAGAAGTGCGTCTTCGGTGCCACGGATAACGAGAAGGGCTTTTTTTGGCAGCTTCCTAGGGCTGGTGTTTTACTGGGGATGGGTTTGGTTGGTTGGTTGGTTGGTTGGTTGGTTGGTTGGATGGTTGGTTGGTTGGATGGATGGATGGATGGATGAATGGATTGATGGATGGATGATTGGATGGATGGTTGGTTGGTTTGTGTGTGTGTTTGTGTGGCTTTTGAGGGTGCCCTTTTTGACGTTTGCTTTGGGGAAGCAAACCAAATGGAAAACGGAAAGGACTCCATTTCGGAGTTTCGGGGTAGCACAGGAGGCGGAGAAGCTGGCAGACGCGCCCAAGAGGATCGTGGAGGCACGGGAGGCCATTGTGGAGGCCAACGCGCGGAAGCAGGGGCCGCGGCTCTATGGTGCGGTGAAGAAGCCCATTGGTTGCAAGGTCTGTTTTGTGTACACCGTGTTTGTTTCGCCCTGTTGCTTTGCTGCTTTAATGGATGGGGGAGGGTAGGTTGCTTTTTTGGCTGGGCTGACTTGAGTCGGGTTGTGATCGGTATGGTTTGATTAGTTGACAGCTTGCTTGATTTATTGACTGACTGATTGATTTGATCCATTTTCGTTGTTTCGAGTGTGTTTTGTGTTCTTTTTGTGCTATTTTGGGTTTGATTGGCTGATTGGTTGCTTGGTTGATTGATTTGATTTGATCTGATTTGATTTGTTTTGACTCGATTTTAAATGAGTTGATTTGCTTTGATTTGATTGATTGCTTGGTTGGTTGGCTGATTGATTTGGTTGATTGCTTGATTTGAATTGAATTGAGCGGTTGGTTGGCTGATTTGATTTGATTTGAACTGAGCTGCATTGAATGATTGGGTCATTGGGTGGTTGGATGATGGGATGACTGGATGGGGTGATGGGATGGATAAATTGGGTTGGATTGGGGTTTGTTTGGTTTGTTCGTTTTGTTGGTTGATGGATGGGTTGATTAATTGGTTGATGGTTTGGCTGATTAGTTGGTTGATTGGTTGGTTGGTTGGATTGATTGGTTGGTTGGTTGGTTGATTGATGGCTGGAAGGAAGGAAGGATTGATGGATGGATTGATGGATGGCTGGATGGATGGCTGGATGCTTGGCTGGTTGGCTGATTTAGTGATAGGAAGTTTGGATGGCTGAATGGATGATTCAGATTGGACGCTTGAATGGCGAGATGCTTGAATGGTGGGATGATGGTTTCTTGACATTGTCACGCTACCCGTTGTTGGAATTGTTGGAAATTGGTAGGAATCCGGCAGCGTGGTTGGCTTGAGCATCGCGGCGGTTTGGGCCAGTTTGAAGCGAGCTTCCTGTTGGGGTAATGTTTGGAGGGTGAAGCCATGGGGAACTCTGAAGTGCCCTTTTGGTTTTGTTTTGGCAGGGGCATCCGAGGTATTTGGAGGCCACCCAGGCACTGCTGATCGGGGCGTGAGCTCGTGTACAGCTTGCCTGAAGGAGAAAAGAGGGGTGGGCGCGCAAAATTGTTGAAACCAGACCCTAGCCCCAAAGCGGGGCAACCCTAAGAGAATCCGCATTCGGCACCCCCAAAACGAATACAAGTCAATTTTGCAACTCGTGAGCTCCACCAACACACGGGCCTTTGGGCCGGGCGAAGAGGGACGCTCACGGAAACTGAGCTGTCCAAGTTCTGCGCTTGTGCTTGCTGTGGAGCCTCCGAGGCCACGTGCATGGCGGATGTGCTGCCTTCAGGCAGGGCAATCTCAATTTTCCGCGTCTGCATTTCACACCTTGACGCAGGGGGTCACGGAAAAGCTACCTTGAACATGACCCAAACTTAGGGTTCCTTTCAGGCGTCCTTTCGTTGGATGTGCCACTCCATTCTGCTACATCCTGGCGCGATTACCTGAAATGAGAAGCAGTGGAATTTGTCCATTGGGGGCTGGAAATCCATGCCCGGAGTGTTTGCTCGCCCTCGGCCAGCCCAACTCTCCAGCCCCCTTTGGCCAGACAAAGTGTGCTTGCCAAAGTGTAGTGGGCACGTCGAAGATATCCTGGTTTCCGTTTGGTTTCCGTTTGGTTTCCTTAACCCTGCCACTCGCATGGAACTTCACGGGAGGTGCCTGGAAGTCTATGCGAGGGACCTTGGGAGGATGGGAATCCCCGGGGGGGGGTTGTCCATTTCGTTTGGGGAAAGCGCTTGAATCTTTAAATGGGGAAGATTGGACATGCCACGGTCTGTGGTTGCTATGGTCTGCGGTTGCCTGTAGTGCTTGAGCGACTGGCCTGGTACCTGCAAGCATGGGGGCAACTGGCAACACCGGGGCTTGCGCGTGCAGCCAGAACCCGGGGTCCCAATTTGCCGGGTCCCCAAGACTAGGTTCATGCCCACAACCCCTCTTGGGGACCCGGATTCCCCTGAGCGCCAGAAGGACAACAGGAAACCGAAAACCGCTGAGGCGCAAGCCGTGCGCTGCGCGCGGTGCAGGCGCTGGATGCCTGGGCATCCACCTCTGAGGTGCAAGAGGTGGGGACCCGGAGGAGACAAAGGAGGCATCCATGTTGGACTGACCGGCCGGTTCGGAGCTCCAAAGTGACACTGGCTTCGCCAGATTGAACAAGTGATTCGCTTGCCAGGGGGTTTTCTGTTTAAGTTTTAGCTGCAGCCGGCTCTTAAGAGGTCAACAGATTCGGAGAGTTCGGCCCAGATTCTGCCCCGTTCTGTCAAAGGATGGCATGGAAGCAAACGTAGGAGCTTGCAAATCCGCCGAGGGAGCGCCAATCGGCTTTGGAACGGCCATGAAGGATGGTTGTTTCTGCGATTGACAATGAGACAAAATGGAAGGGGAGAGGGCAAGGGGACCATGGACAGTAGCTCAGTCCAAAGCCGACCTTTTGACAAACTGGTTTTCCCATGTCTCCTCCGGGTCCCCACCTCTTGGTTTTGTCACCCCAAGAGGTTCGCCTTCGCTTTCTTGGTCCGTCGGGCTGAGGGACGGGCCAGGCGGTGTTCGGCAGCCTGGTGGCCTGGCAGCAGCCGCGCTGGGCCACCTCCGCGCTGGCCAAGCTGGCGGAGGCCAAGAAGGGCCAGGCGCGGCAGAAGGATCGGGGGCAAAATTCTTGGGTGTCCCTTTCCTCTTGTTCTTTTTTTTTTTTGGGGGGGGGAGGGGGGGTTCCCTTTGAAGGCCAAAAAGTTCCTTTTTTTTTCCGGGGGGGCGGGGCGGGAAGGGGGGGTTCCCTTTGAATGCCAATATGTTCCTTTTTTTTTCCGGGGGGGCGGGGCGGGAAGGGGGGTTCCCTTTGGGGGGCGGGGCGGGTTTTTTTTTTTTCCGGGGGGGCGGGGGGGGGGGTTCCCTTTGAATGCCAATATGTCCTTTTTTTTTTCCGGGGCGGGCGGGAAGGGGGGGGGGGGGCGGGAAGGGGGGTTCCCTTTGAATGCCAATATGTTCCTTTTTTTTTCCGGGGGGCGGGGGTCGGAAGGGGGTGTTCCCTTTTGAATGCCAATATGTTCCTTTTTTTTTCCGGGGGGGCGGGGCGGGAAGGGGGGGTTCCTTTTGAATGCCAATATGTTCCTTTTTTTTCCGGGGGGCGGGGCGGGGAATGGGGGGGTTCCCTGTTGAATGCCAATATGTTCTTTTTTTTTCCGGGGGGGCGGGGCGGGAAGGGGGGGTTCCCTTTTGAATTGAATGCCAATATGTTCCTTTCTTTTTCGGGGGGGGCGGGGGCGGGAGAGGTGGGGGTTCCTTTGAATGCCAATATGTTCCTGTTTTTTTTTCCGGTGGGGGGGGGGCGGAAGGGGGGGTTCCCTTTGAATGCCAATATGCGGGGGGCGGAAGGGGGGGGGGTTCCCTTTTTTTTTTGAATGCCAATATGTTCCTTTTTTTTTTTCCGGGGGGGCGGGGCGGGAAGGGGGGGTTCCCTTTGGATGCCAATATTTCCTTTTTTTTTTTTTCCGGGGGGGGCGGGTGCCGAAGGGGAAGGGGGGGGATTCCCTTTTGAATTCAATTGTTCCTTTTTTTTTCCAGGGGGGGCGGGGCTGGGAAGGGGGGGTTCCCTGTGAATGGCCATTATGTTCCTTTTTTTTTTCCGGGCCGGGGCGGAAAGGGGGGGTTCCTTATAGAATGCCAATATGTTCCTTTTTTTTTTCCGGGGGGGGCGGCGGGGGAAGGGTGGGGTTACCCTTTGACTGCCAATATGTTCCTTTTTTTTTCGGGTGGGCGGGAGCGGGAGGGCGGGGGAAGGGGGGGGTCCCTTTGAATGCCCAAAATATGTATCCTTTTTTTTTTCCCGGGGGGGCGGGGGCTGGGAAGGGGGGGTTCCCTTTGAATGCCAATATGTTCCTTTTTTTTTACGGGGGGGCGGGGCGGTAGGGGGGGTTCCATTTGAATGCCAATATGTTCTCTTTTTTTTTTTCCGGGGGGGGCGGGGGGGAATGGGGGGTTCTCTGAATGCCAATATTGTTCTTTTTTTTCCGGGGGGGCGGGGCGGGAAGGGGGGGTTCCCTTTGAATGCCAATATGTTCCTTTTTTTTCCTGGGGGGGGCGGTGCGGGAAGGGGGGGTTCCTTTGAATGCCAATATGTTTCCCTTTTTTTTTCCTGGGGGGGCGGGGCGGGAGAGGGGTGGGTTCACTTTGAAATGCCAATATGTTCTATTTTTTTTTCCGGCGGGGGGCGGGGGGCGGGTAAGGGGGGTTCCTTTGAATGCCAATATGGTTCCTTTTTTTATTCCGGGGGGTCGGGTGCGGGAAGGGGGGGTTCCTTTGAATGCCAATTATGTTCCTTTTTTTTTTTCCGGGGGGGGCGGGGTGGGGGCGGGAAGGGGGGGTTCCTTTGAATGCCAATATGTTCCTTTTTTTTTTTCCTGGGGGGGGGGGCAGGAAGGGGGGGTTCCCTTTGAATGCAATATGTTTCTTTTTTTTTTCGGGGGTGCGGGGGCGGGAAGGGGGGGGATCCCTTTGAATGCCAATATGTTCCAATTTATTTCCGGGGGGGCGGGGGGCGGGCGGGGAAGGGGGGGTTCCCTTTGAATGGGAACAATTATGTTCCTTTTTTTTTTCCTGGGGGGGGGGCCGGGGAAAGGAGTGGGTTCCTTTGAATGCCAATATGTTCCGTTTTTTCAAATGGAAGGGGGTGGGGGCCCGCGCGGCACGGGCCAACGCCCGGGGGGGTTAACTAATTGAATGAATATGTCTCCACTTATTTTCCATTGGGCGGGAAGCGGGGACCGGGGAGGGCGGGGCGGGAAGGGGGGTTCCCTTTGTAGCTCATGCCAATTTTTACTTTTTTTTTCCAGGGCGCGACCCCCACCTGGGCCGCCCCGGGCCCCGCGCCGCCTGCATCAAAGGGAAGGGGGGGTTCCTTTGAATGCACCAATATGTTCCTTTTTTCTAACGGGGGCGGCGGCGGGCGGGCGGGATGGGAAGGGGGGTTTCCCTTTTGAATGCCAATATGTTCCTTTTTTTTCCGGGGTTGTGGGGGGCGGGGCCGGGAAGGGGGGGTTCCCTTTGAATGCCAATATGTTCCCTTTTTTTCCCTCCTCGCGCGCCGCCGCGGGGGGGGGGGGGGGGGGGGAAGGGGGGGGTTCCTTTGAATTGCCAATATGTTCCCACGCGCTCGCGTGTTCCGGGGGCCGGGCGGGAAGGGGGGGGGTTCCCTTTGAATGCCAATTTGTTCTTTTTTTTTCCGGGGGGGGGGGCGGGGAGGGAAGGGGGGTTTCCTATTGGAAGCCCCAATATGTGCTTTTCTTTTTCGAGGGGGGCGGGCGGGAAGGGGGGGTGGGTTCCTTTGATGCCTTATTTCATTTTTTTTTTCCGGGGGGCGGGGCGGTCGGGGCGGGAGGGAAGGGGGGGTTCCTTCGCTGAATGCCAATATGTTCCATTTTTTTCCGGGGGGGGCGGGGCGGGAAGGGGGGGTTCCCCTTTTGATGCCAAATGTTCCTTTTTTTTTTTTTTTTTTTTTTTTTTTTCGGGGGGGAGGGGGCGGGAAGGGGGTGGGTTACCTTTAATGCCAATATGTTCATTTTTTTTCCGGGGGTGGCGGGGGCGGGAAGGGGGGGTTCCTTTGAATCCAATATGTTCCCTTTTTTCTTCGGGGGGGCGGTGGGCGGGAAGGGGGGGTTCCCTTTGAATTGCTAATATGTTTCCTTTTTTTTTTTTCCGGGGGGGCGGGGGCGGGAAGGGGAAGGGGGGATTCCCTTTGAATGCATTATGTTCTTTTTTTTTTTCCGGTGCGGGGCAGGGCGGGAGGGAGGGGAAGGGGGGGTTCCTTTTTGGAATTGCAATATGTTGCTTTTGCGTTTCCGGGGGGGGGGGGGCGGGGCGGGAAGGGGGGGTTCCCTTTGAATGCCAATATGTTCCTTTTTTTTTCCGGGGGGGCGGGGCGGGAAGGGGGGGTTCCCTTTGAATGCCAATATGTTCCTTTTTTTTTCCGGGGGGCGGGGCGGGAAGGGGGGGTTCCCTTTGAATGCCAATATGTTCTTCTTTTTTTTTTTGGGAGGTAGTGTTTTTTTCTTCTTCTTTTTTTCTCTAGGTCTGGTTTTTTCTTAGGTCTGGTGATGGGTTGGTTGGTTGGTTGGTTGGTTGGTTGGTTGGTTGGTTGGTTGGTTGGTTGGTTGGTTGGTTGGTTGGTTGGTTGGTTGGTTGGTTGGTTGGTTGGTTGGCTGGCCGCATCCCCGGCATCACCAGCATCACTTGGACCTGCGGATTGGCTCTGATTGGGTGGCAGTTGGGAGTTGCTGGGGGCTGGTTTAAGTTAGGGAGGTGTTGGCTGGCTTAGATCTTCATGAGGGTGGGTCTTGGGGTGGTTTGGGGTTGATTTAGGCGAAGCGAAGGGCTGCCATCCGGGTTAGGGTGGCTTGGAGCTGATTTGTGTTAGGTGTGCTGCTGGTTTAGCAGCGGCTTTTGAGTTGCTTCAGGGTGTGGTTAAGAAAGTTTTGGTCGAGTTTTGCCCAAACCCACTCAAAGTCAACCCTAAACCCGCCCAACAGCAGCCTGGATGTCAGCCCTTCGCTTCGCCTAAATCAACCCCAAACCACCCCCAGCAACTCGCAACTGCCACCCAATCAGAGCCAATAGCCAACCCCAGGTCCAAGTGATGCTGGTGATGCCGGGGATGTTGGCAGCTTTGCGGAAAACCGGACCTAGTAAAAACCGACCTAGTAAAACAAGAAACACATCTACCGATGGGGGTGGAGGGGGGCGGTTCGCTTTGGATACCAATAAAAGCTTGAAAAGCCCAAATGGAAAGCCAAAATCAAAAGCACAACTGAAACCCATTTTGGCCGTACTATTTTGGTAACGTCACCCCCCCTAATCAAAATCAACCAGATCAATGCTGCATGTGTTCGTTTCTTTTGCGGGGTTGGATCCGAGTGATTCAGCCCCTGAACCCTTCGATTGCACCCGCAAAATCTGCGTCGCTAGGTCGCAGCGCAGGTGCTGACGGCCATGCGCGATGGCACGTGGGCAAAGGATTTTGAGGGCGAGGGATCATTTCAGTCAGGACAGTCAGGCACCGATGCGCGGTCCTTTTTGCAGGTCCTTTGTGCTCGCCCATGGTGGGAGCAGCTAGGCAATAGTATGACCTGCTTGTTGATGGTTCTCCAGGCGGGAAAAGTGAAAAGAGACATTGACGGAGAAAGCCCCCATTGCCCCTAAAGCAGTTTTCTTTGCGCGAGAAGGCGCACGCAAACCGATGGCCATGACTCAGGTAGACGGCGCAGGATTTGCATTCCATTTGTTTCGGCGACAGGCGCTGCGGAAACCTCCACCTTCCACTACAACGCGGCGATCAGTGCGTGCGCCAGCAGTGGCCTTTGGCGCTGGGCCTTGCACCTCTTGACGCTCGGGCAATTATGAGCCTTCCAAGATGCCGTGCTTCGGGTATGTGGAGGTCTGACTGATGAAGGGATCGCCCCTCAAGCAGTCAGGGGGGTTAAATATTGTTCAGCCAACCCACCTTCCACTTCTCCCCCCCAAACTCCCCCCCAAACTCCCCCCCAAACTCTCCCCCAAGAAACTCAGTCACTCCCCCCCAAACCCCGCCACACTGCCCTTCCTTGTCCTTGACCGCAGGCTGTCCATGTCCACGCTCCGCGCTCCGTGCAGCGCCGTGAGCTTCGGCAGCGCCATCTCCGCCTGCGAAACCTGCAGCGAGTGGCAGCGCGCCGTGCAGCTCTTTGCCATGTGCGCTGAGGCGCGGCTGAGGCGGGGATGGGCCGATGCGCCGATCGGCCGGGAGCTGGGGAAGGGTAGCAAGTGGGGAGGGAGGTGGGGCCGGTTGCGGCTGAAAGGTCTAAAGAGCAAGCGTCGGTCCGATTAGTGGGCAGGGGGTACGCATATGATGTTTTCTTTACCGGGCTTCAACAAGGTTAGGCAATAAATGATCAAATAATGCGGGCAACAATGAGGGATACCACCCAACAGCATGGTAAAAGCTACCTGCCAATTTCGCTCCCTTACACAAGACTTCCATTTGCTCAAGCCCCCTGGAAAAGCTAAAAACTATTTCCAGTGGTAGATTCCCTTTGAAACCAACAGGGAAAGTCGAAACACTATTCTGGGCTGCCCTCAGATCCCCCGCTAAAGTTTAACTTTTAGTGGGTTGAATGGAAACTTGCAAGACCTTTTCCATGTTGCGCGTGGGGGTGTTGAGCATGTAGCAGTCAGAAGCCCTGCCAGAGCATGCCCCTTAGAGAGCATACCCGTGTACATTGCTGACCGTTGAAGCCTGCAGCAAAAGAGGGAGTGCATGTCAGGGTTTCTTGAGAAAGCTTCCCCTGCAAAACAACACGACGTATCTCATTTAGTTGCTCCCAGGCCTTTGCACATTTGGTCGGGCCAGCCAGGCACAACATCGTCATCTACAACAGTTTGATGAGCGCTTGTGCGGCCGCCAGCCGCTGGCAGAGCGCTCTTTGGCTCCTTGCAGAAGGGCATCTTGCAGGCGAGGCGAGCCAAAACCCAAGTGCCCACTCGTCCGGATCCTGGAAAACCTCACGGCCCAACTGTTTTTGCCATTTGGCGTAGGGGGAAGGCGGGGACTTACAGATCTCGGGGCTCAGGCCTTACGCCGACAGTGATCAGCTATGGGGCAGCAATCTCAGCATGTGAGAAGGGTGGCCAATGGCAGTTGGCCTCCTCAATGTTGATCTCCTCGCCGAATTCGCGGGTGCAACCAAACACAGTGACTTGTGACTCTTGCATCAGCGCTTTTGAAAAAGGCAGCCAGTGGCAGATGGCAGTTGACTTACTCCGTTACATGCATCTCTCCAAAGTCCGGTGCGTCGACATCAGCTTCAACGCTGCCTTGAGTGCCTTCGACAAATCTGGGCGTTGGCAGTTGGCTGTGCATGCCCTCGGCATCCTGGCCGCACGCGAGGGAAGGGCAGGAAGGCACGGTGCGCTTGTTGCGCACAAGCAGTTTGACATGTGCCATGGGCAACGGCTCCCCTGTTGTGCAACTCGGTCGAATTTCCCGTAGCTGGCCAGTTAGGGAGACGTCACTCAATTTTCTCCACAAGTAAAACATCACCACTATCGCGATGGCGTGTTTTTGTTGCCACTTTGGTAATCAGTCAGCTAAACAGATGGCATTTGGTTGCCCTCGGCCCGGGTTTGCTCCGAGAGGTGGGCAGCGGTTCTCCTCCCTTTGCCCGGCCATTCGGAGCCCCCAAAATGCACACGCTGGTCCAGCGCTTTCCTTGCCACACAAAAGCACAGAAGGTACCCTCTCCAACGAAGGACGCGGGTTTCTCCAAAGGGCCATGCTTGGCTTCGGCCTCGCCAAGGTGCCATGCGGCACCTCGCGGTGGGTTGGGACGTCATCAGCTTCGACGCCTCCGTGAGCGCCGTGGGGGGTGCCGGGAAATGGCGACGCTCCCTGAGGCTCCTGAACCACGTGGCTGCGTCCCAGGTGCGGCCTGTGGCGGCGCGGCGGAAACCGAGGGAAGGGATTGGAAGGGAAGGATGATGGAAGGTTCAAACGTGGAAAAGCATTTGCCGAATTGTGGCCTTGGTGGGAGCCTGGCAATGTTTCTGAAGTGTGAAGGTTCGTGACAGCCCTTTAAGAGAATCAGA